TATATACACGAAGAATCGGTTCACACATATTGTTCGACGTATAGCTTTGACGGAAATCTTCATGTAGAAGAGTCAGTTGTTGATATAAATGGATGAGAAAAAAAACGCATTGCAAACATAATGTCAATATCATTTTCTCTCAAAGATTTGTTTAGTCAGCACGTTGTTGTGCTGAAAATAATTATGAATTGAAAGACTTGATTGCACAGATGAAAACGGAGTTCCGCGGTCACTACTATTCACTTGGCTTTTTATTATATCGTAAGGGCCAGTACGAAAAAGCAAAACAGTATTTTGAAGGACTGCTATTCGAAGAAGCACTGGATGACTACAACAGAGCCGGGTGCTACAGAGGACTCGGGTTGGTGCAAGTTTATTTCGAACAATATGATGAAGCATTAATGAATCATCAAAACGAACTTTCGCTAGCGAACAAACTTGGTAAGGAAATAAATATAGCATTAACAAACCTCTCCATCGGTGACGTATACAAGTGTAAAAATGAACTTGACTTGGCTCTCTCATACGTACAAAAAGCATTTGACTTTTTTTCCCCTTTAAACCATCCTGATCTATCATTTGTTTATCGCCAAATGGCTGAGATTTATGATGAGAAAAACGAATTGCAATTAGCTATTGAATATTATAAAAAATCGATTGAAATCCATTGTCAACATCTTCCAGAAAATCACGCACAAATTGGACTTGATTACGCAATGATGGGAAACACCTACGGAAAGAAAAGAGATAGTTCAAAATCTTTCGAATGGAAATCAAACAATTATAAACAAGCACTCGTATGTTTTGTGAAAGCACGTGACATTTGGTTGAAATCTTTGCCACCGAATCATCCACATATCTCGGGAGCAGAAAATAATATTCGCCGTGCAAAAGCTAATATGAATGAAAACTGGAGTCAATGAATATCCTTGCTGCTGAAACAAAAAGCTTCTTATGGCAGAATCTCTTACTTTTTTATTGCGTATCTCTTCCATATCGCTGTTTTTCCGAGTTCGGCTTATTGCGGTCAACATCAAGCCAGCCTAAATTATTCTCTTTTCATAATCCAAGAGATATGAAAACTTTTTCCTTTTTAACAAAATGTTGCCCTGACTCCTGTTTGTCCACGTTATGAATTTGAACGATTAACCGACGTTTGAGCGACCGCCACTTGAGCGACCCCGAGGTTTGAGCGACAGACATTTCCGAGAACGACATGAAATCCGAGAGAAGTTATGTGGTGAATAGTCATTATACCATCCAGTTACACATGTACAGTTTCGTATGATGGAAATATGTTTCGTGTGGAACTACTTTTCGAACTTACTCTCACACTACCCACACCCCCACCTCCCACAGCACACTGCCAAAAAAAAACCCAAATGTGTACTACGAAAAATTCGTGGAAGAGTCGAGTCCTGTTCGCGGTAATGTAATTTGAACTGTTAGCTGTTAAAAAATGGTTACTGAAATACAGCTATTTAACGATTGAGGGTCACTTTTGAATTTTGAGATCTTCTTACAGAAAATTCATAACTCGTCCTATAAACATTATTTTGACTTCAAACTTGTACCAAATACTGTGCAATGTCTGAAGACTATTCAGCTAAAGTATGAAGATTAACTATTGTACAGTTCCAAAAATCTGTTGCGAATGAGCAGACGCTAATGTAACATACACAGGGACGCGAACCTGAGGAAATATGGGTCGTCGATTCTACCCTAGCTTCTGTGATTAGTGTGCATCAGAATTATGTAACAATATAATCATGAAAACCTATGACCTGTGTTTCTGAAAGTGGGCTAGAATGGGATGAGGGTGGAATTTTTTGACAATGTTTCACCTACTGTTTTTATATCCATAAGGTCCCGTGCTTAAAATTAGACCAATGTCTCGTTGAATGGTGTGTAACACATTGTGTGTAGATGAAAACGGTTGTGCCTCCCCAAGGATATTCTCTAGTGCAATTTTTTTGTTGAATTTTGCGATATTTTTATATCATTAGATTCAATTTTTTAAGAGATATATTTTTAGCTTATTTAGCACTGATCGTAAGTCTTATAGGTAGCTGAATAGATGTGATTTGTGTAAACTTGGAGACTTGTGTCAATCTATATATGTATACAAAAAATGCTTTAGAACTTCATTAATATGAGCCATATAAACGTCATTCTCTCAGCTCTAGTTTGCACAGTTCTCAAGGATATCTTTCAAAATATGTTAGAACAAGTGCTTCGGACCCTGCACAGAATAAAATTACGCTTAATATAATTGAATATATGGGATCATGAATATAATTAAAAGAACACAGTTACTTTTCTTATTGTTGGTATTAGCTTCTAAGGCGAAAATAATCGAAAATGGAATAAAGACGTGTTTTCTATCCATTTCAAATAAAGATCTCCACTGGTCCAAGATAGAGTCCTGCAGGTTACGACTTTTTGACAACCTATTACCTACCTAATAAAAATTTTCACAACCTACACCTAACCTTACCTATTAATGTTTTTTGTAACCTAACCTAGGTTAACCTAATACAACCTTTTGCAATTTTTTCCCAAAACCTGGTTGCAGAAGCCTAAACTTCAGCTTTGTTTCATATCGTTATTGTTTTTTATCTAAACACCGTCTGAAAGGTAGGCTTATACAAAATAAATCACATTTTTACATGAATATAGAAATGAATCGGTTAACGGCATGGCCAGCTAACGGTCCACGTTCGGATAACAAGATTCAAATTTTTGTTTTAGCTTGAGCAAAGCTTGAAAATACATCATTAGACACAGTTTTTCACGTTGATCACAAATCTGGACTCAAAAACAAATGAAAATCAAATCTTCGTGGAGAAAATTTTAATTTTTTAATTTTAAATTTCAATTCCTAGATATTTTTTCCAAAGATTCGGAAAACTATACCGTCGGATATAGAATCAAATCCTCTACCAAAGGGCTCATTTGTGTTTGACGTTTAGATGCGAAATTTTGTTTTTATTTTCTAAAAAAAGTTTTGGCCCTTATTTTATGAGCGGTTTTATGCCCATTTAATCTAACTTTGAAAATTTATTTTATTTTGGACTGCGTCGGAAGAAGGGCATCTCAAACTATCTATCTATGTGCAAATCAGAGCTTGCTAAGTGGTTCTGTGACAGAAAAAATATATACCAAACCAAGAGATGGTTCCAACCAAAACGGTGAAATTCTGTAACGAAATGAAATCCCCGTAACTGTCACTTTTATTTGGTTTAAGTATTAAACAGTATATCATTATCATCGTTAAATTATAAACTAACACCGAGAATAAACCAACAGTCAACACCTAGGATACCGAAGGATACAAGACATAAACATAGTAAAATATGGTCTTACTTTACTGCGAGACTGTTCTGTTTAGCCTATCTATAAACGAATATCAGCAGTTTCTATGGTTGTCCTTAACCCTACCTATAGGTGAGGAGCCAGCAGAATGAGCTTCACTTCAGACCTAGGTTTCGCTGGTTCCAGTGGAACTGACTGTACAGTCAATCAGAAGAAAAAGGTAGATCATCTCCTGGCGAATAAAAGAATAGCCTCAATGTTTTAAAAAAGTGGCTGAGGCTGAGGTCACTCTTCCTACCGTCTTCCTGGATGGTTACTGTTAATTTACCGATTGGATTTGAAAATTAACGGGAACTAATTTAAAAAAGTCTCATATTAAATTAGTTCGCATTAATTTCCAAAAGTTCTAATGGGTACGGTTTGATATGTTCGACTCATTATAAACTGACATATAAAAAACAAAGGGAGATTTTATTTTACGATCATAAACAGAATTCAGCTAGGCTCCTATCCAGAAATCCTGCTCAGGGGTTTAAGAATAAGCCTTAGGTAATTTATATATCTGAGCAGTTATACAAAAATATTTATCTATATCGCTGAATCTATATGTTAATAAATATTTTTATATAAATTTACTTTCCAAACATCTTTATCGTTATACATATGATCCAGCCTACAGTGGTGTCAGCAAAGCAGCAGCAAGAGCCACAAGCACAGATCGTTTAAATGAATTATCAAAATCAAAACGTAAACATCAAGTAATTCCATATGACAAGGCATTCCCACAAGTTATATCCAAAGCAGTATTGAATTATGAAATAACAGAAAGAATAAATGAATTAGCTAGGCCAAAAAAATCCGATTGATAAATGGTTATTGAGTCCTACAGAATTGTCACGTGATAGTGCATGCAGTTTATAACGTCGAATCATAGAAAGTCGAGTCAAATTCGTATAGTGCTGTTACTATGCGCAAAATGAATTAATATTTGCTTTTTTTTATTAATTGTGTGAAGAATCTTATAATTCTCTCCTTTCCTGCCTTAAACATATATAAGACACAGATACCATATCACATAGTCTCTCTTTCTATTTAAGAGGATGTCCCACTCACTCGGATGATTTCACCAGTTTGTAAAGGATACTTCATAGTATATTTCCTAACAATTTTTTCGGTTCCGGGATCTACCTTTTCTGATTAAAAAATTTTATTTATTAGCATGATTAATTATAAATCATTGTCTTAAGAAAACTTTTTGTAAAACTTTTTTCACCAGACCATAAGAACAGACTATTAGCTATGAAACCATCCAAGAACGGCATTTCTATAGTTATTTTTATTAGAGCTAAGATGCACGTAACGCAAACTTCAAGTAAAATTTTGTTTTGACTTTATCATACATATTCTTGTTCAGCGCATGGAGCTGATCACGAATATCACCTTCCCAGCCTCCAAAAGCCATTTCTTCATGGAGAAAAACTCAAATTACTGAGAGAACCTCAAAAGTGTAAAAAACCGTCCTCTATGATGAAATTGATTTTTTGAGCTTGTATTGTAAGATGGAAGGTTCGAACTATATTTTTCTGAATCAGCATTGGAAACTGATTTAGAAAAAGGTTTTCAGTTTATTTCAGAGGTAAACAGTTATCCGCCGTGGACGTCCGAACCAACGGCTGTCAACTGAGTATGACTCATTTTGTAAATCTATCTAGTTTTTTGGGTGAAGGGCTATATCGATGATTCGCACACCATCAGATCGGCCAATACGCCAGCTTTAAAAGTACGTAGAGCTTTTTTCAAAATTCTTTTTCCTTGCTGAGAAAAACGGCTTTTACTGAAAACCAAAGAGAAACAGCGAGGAGATCTTTGGAAAACTAGGCTGTGTGTAAAACGTTTCGATAGGATTGTATTGATTTTCTTCCATGCTATGAGAGATTGCTCGCGATAGTTTTCCATTCAAAGCTTAAGTAAATCAAATATTGAGCGATCACCACTTTCACCTTTATGTGTTCAAAAATTCATATTCGCTTCACATCTTGGAATTGTTCTGGGTTCTTAGGATTTAATTCGGAGGCCTGCATGTGTTCGTCCATGATCCTGCTTACCGAAGCTAGGATCTGCTTCTCCATCGGCACTCTTTTTCCTCATATAGATGCCACATCCGTATGTTCATGTTGAAAAGCCACGGCAGCTTCACAATCGTCCCGAAGCTCCACCGCAAGCAATAGAGAATGATAAGAAAAAATGCCGTCAATATTGTCATATCACTCGAAAAGCGAGTTATAATCAAGGATTGAAAACATTCATCGATGTTTATAAAATTGAGAATCTGCAAGATAATCTCATCCTAATCAATAATTGTTCAACACAGAATGAACTACGACGAGCTCTTCAAGCCGCGTCAATAGCTAGTCAGTTTTCCATCGATACAGAGAGTTATCATTCTTCGTCCACATCAATAACCACTCCGTCGTTGATTCAAGTCCAATCGATCATTGACGATGAATAGATAGATTGGACGATGAATTATCGAAATTTCTTCGTTATGGATTATTTGATCAGAAAATGATGCCGACCTCTCCTCGAATTATGGTCAATATTCAAGAGCGTTTTGGCTACTGGATGCTCGACAGGGAACCTCCTGTAAAGGATGGGTTTCCGAGGGAAGAGAGCAGAGAAGAGGACGATGATTATTTTGAATTACAAATTCCTGCTCCAAGAAAGAAGAAGAAGAACAACGGTAATGGAAATATTGCTCAAGAATGGAGCCTTCAACGAGCGGCAGCAACAATTCTTAATCTGTTCGTCGACAAATCATTCACAATAAGTAAATGGCATGGTGGTCTCGATCAACGACTTAAAACATATAGAGATACATCATTGTACGGTCGAAGAACTTTAACAAAATTCGGATACTCAACTGCAACGCCGAGAGAACATGATTAATTATGCTGCAATTGACGTCGATGTCGTCTACCGTCTTTCCGAACGAATGAAACAGCCCAAAGAACAACCTTCTTCACCTCAACCGAATCATCAACAATCACCTCTCTCTCCACCATCTCCTCACCTCTCCCCACGCATCGTTTCAGTCGAATCTCCTCAGGCAATCGTGGTTCAACCAAAACGTAAACGACTCAAACACTCTCAAATGCCTCTCGGACAACGAAAAATCAAGAACTAGAAACACAATAAACATCGAAGAGCGAACCGCTTTACAATTCCCAAGACAGTTGTCCTCGATCATCGTTACTGAATTCAACAAATCAAGAAACACCTCAACTGGAATTTCATTGGCTTTCGACATGTTTCAATCAACTTCAGAAAACGATTAATCATCGGATTTACAGATGAACAACAACAACTGCGATTCAAACAAACAATGGGTGATGATTACTTTGAAACATTACGAGCTTGATTTTGGCAGGTTCAGATGATGTTGTTGATGGATTATTGACTCTTTTTTTACGTTGATGCTGTACAAAAGGTGTTTTTGTTTGTTGACTGTTGGAAATTAACTGGTGCAAAAAATTGAAATGATTTATGATTTGGCGGTGGAAGTATGGATGCATCTGATTCTGATCTGATCGTCAGTTTCTAAACTAGTCGTTTGCCGCAATTAAAACACGAAAAATTTTCAAGTTGACTCTTTTCTAATTTTTGAAGCCATTTCTAAACGTGGAAAAAATATTTTCAGTTTCCTGAGTAGTGCAGAGTCAAGGCTATAGATCTATGTAAAAATATTTAAGATTCGTTTGCTCATTTCTTATTAATTAAGACAAGAACGAAGGCTACTATGAATTTCTTTTCTTTCCTGTCTATTCCAAATTAGAACACGCTGTGCATTTTCTATTCCTAAATAGAACACGTCCATACAAATACATGGACTTTTTAAGTAAAGTCAGAAAAAACGATGTGGGCGCCACCCGAAGTACAAAATCAAGGCAAATGTTTGTAACAAAAAAAACTTTATTCAAACGCCATTAGAACCGCCGTTTGACGCGCTAGAAAGTTATAGCCTTCTTTTTTTCTTATGGCTTTTTATGAGGGAGTACAGTGTCTCTTTTCTCAAAACTCTAAATATAACGAAACTCTAAATATAACTAGAACCTTTCTTAATCTGGCGTGATTGCAGCCCACACATTTCTGATTAAAATGAGACGTCTCCAAGCTCTACACGACCTTTCTTTGCAAAGTTATAGAATTTACAAGAAAGCCCTAAATTACTTTCGTCCTATTTCTGCTGCTTTGAGCTGACAATGAACATTTAGGGCTTTTCTTGTAAATTCTATAACTTTGCAAAGAAAGGTCATGTAGAGCTTGGAGACGTCTCTTTTTAATCAGAAATGTGTGGGCTGCAATCACGCCAGATTAAGAAAACTTCTAGTTATATTTAGAGTTTCTGAAAAACTGGATTTCTGGAAAACCGGACCTTCGAAGGGCTAAGAGCAACCCCATAGTCATATTTGGAATTAGCATGATCGATAGTCTATAACCCACTAGATTCCGAGCAAAAAGCGTTTAATCACTTCGGGAAGTTCCCTCGTAAGACTAAAGAAACCTAGTATAGCGAGAAAATGGAAAGAGCTGTTCAATCTGTCTGAATGCTGTATCATCATCACGTCTGAGTTTAAACAATTTGATAACTGGAAAAGACATAAAAAGGGTTTTTATTTGAACGTAAATGTCCTGATCAGTGTTGATAGAGACGTGTTTTTTGTGTATATGTTTTTATAAAGTGGACCGCAAAAGTTTAAGACACTTTTTATTTTTGAACTTTCCCATGAACTAAAGTAGCTAGAATAAATCCGAGAATAGATTTATGTAGAGAACACCTTAGAGTATCTAAGCATGTAGAAGAAAAGTTGAAAAGCATGAAGAAGAAAAATTTTCATTTAACTTTAGCAAGTTTAATAAGATGAAATTTTCAACTTTTTTAAAGTTAGTCAAAAGTCATTTTCGATGATTCAGAAAAATAGAGCAGACTTTTCTCGTCAAAATGAGACGTTGTACGACTCAATGCGAATTCTCTTCAATGAGTTATTGATTTTTCTCGGAAAATGCACTTTTTTAACGATCTTGCTAGGATTTTTTGGTATGCTCAAAAAAAATTGCTTTTGAACAAGTTCTAGGCTTTTTCTGACATTTTCTCTATATATAAAAACATATCATAGGTGTTCCGAAAAACTGCTTCAAAACTCGGGGTTTTTAATAGAAAGGACTTATTTTGTTTTCCATCAAAAGTGTTTTCTAGAGCATACTGATACTTTGACGCGAAAAAAAATCGAAAAAAAAACCTTTCCAAAAAGTGGATGGGTCCTCATGGATTCACCCAATAATTAAATTGTAACCAGCTGCTGTCTTGGGTAAGCCAATAATAAAGTCACTTGTTCCTATCTCCCTTTTTGATTGTGGTTAACCAATGATTGTAGTTAACCAAATGGTTGTTGATTCATAGCTTTATTTCGCTGACATGACTGACAGCTAAAAACGTACTTTTTTATATCCCTTGGCATAGGAGACCAATAATAAGATTGTCTGATGAACATAGATGTCTTGTAATAACCAAAATGTCCCGCTACAGGTGGGTGCATCATGTGAATCATGTAATATTTTTAATTTTAAATCCAAATTGCTTGGTACACGTAACCGATAACGTTTTGCTTCTGAATCAAAGTAATATAATTCAAAACTCGGGATTTTTAATAGAAAGGACTTATTTTGTTTTCCATCAAAGGTGTTTTCTAGAGCATACTGATACTTTGACGCGAAAAAAAATCGAAAATAAAAACCTTTCCAAAAAGTGGATGGATCCTCATGGATTCACCCTATTGTTTTTATTGATCGGGTCACAAAACGAGCTTATTTTAAATCAACTAAATTTTACGCAACTGCAGTTGACACAGGGACAAGTTTCTTCGAAACAATATTTCGTCATCATGGTTAACCTAGAATTATTATAAGTGATCGTAATCCTAAATTCACAAGTTTATTCTGGCAGATTCTGTTTACTTGTATAGGAACAAAAATTTCATTATCAACAGCATTTCATCTGCAAACAGATGGACAAAGCGAAAGATTAAATAGAACTGTAGAAGAAATCCCGAGTTTTGAATTATATTACTTTGATTCAGAAGCAAAACGTTATCGGTTACGTGTACCAAGCAATTTGGATTTAAAATTAAAAATATTAC